GGTATAATTCTCTCCTACTGCTTTTGTTTAGATCTGGTTCAGTTTATGGTTCAAGATTGATCCTTGAAAATATGATTTTCTAAATAGGGAATGCGATTCCCAGTTGAAGGGAGAGAAAAATTTTTGAAATTCGCTCACCTAATTCCGCAAGATTTGGGCGTCCATACGATGGATCTCTCATCCCTTCAATTTTCACCTCTTTTACAGAGAAAACCTTGTTTTCTGATCCTTTAAATTGAAATAGATGCAGCCAAAGCAAAAGGGTTTAGAAAATGAGGTGTCAGGATGACACATCAAATGCCAAAAGTTATGCACTATATATAAAAAGATGATTGTCTATACAATACTATTCACAAGATCCAAAACATCTATCTCCAAATGCCTGAGAAAGATTTTATTATTTAAGGACATAAATCATGTGCATTTTTTGATATTGACATATAATATAAATAGGTATTGCTTATAGATCCCATTCACTTAGTACTTTTGATAAAAACTTTGATTATTTCAGTTGGGACTTGATTACAGGAATGGAACAATCCAAGACTATAGTCTGGAATTCATTCCCTAGCATCTATTTCTAAAAAGGGGCAATTTCCCAATGTTGGTACCTAGCTAATCAGCTATTTGCAGTCTTTAGATGTGTGGACAGGATATGGACCTATCTTTGGTATTTTTTGCACAAGGTGGCCATTCACAGACTATAAATCAACTTCTCATTCTCAAAAGTAACTAATGAGAAGTGATCATGTTTCATGGTATGGGTAGAGGATAAATAAGAAATGTGATTAGGGAGTGAAAACCAAGTTAGGGATGATTAAATCATCCATAATTATTTACATTGATGTGAGTTAACAATATTACCCTTGTAAACTTGGATACACTTGTTGCTATTTCTTTCCTTCCTCGAGTTGTGCACAAGTACCAATCCTGCTCAATTTGGTGAGGGTGTAAGAGCATAAACATGCATAATACCATCATCAGACATCAGTAGGTATCCAAAACAGATACTTTAAGTAAATGCTAAATGTTTTAAAACGCGGAGGCGTGACGCGAGGCATTCCACTATCTAGAGGCGTGAGGCGTAGTTCAGAACGCAAAAGGCGTAAGCCTCCCGAACACAAGGAGGCATAAGCCTCCTTAAGAGGAGGGGGGTTAGGAGGAGGAAGGGGAGGAGGATGAAGAGGAAGGGGGGATCTCATTTATTCTTTATTTTTAATAAAAATCTTTTATATTAAGAAGAATAAAGATGCATAGCATTAGTTGAAAGGGGGGGTCTTGTCGATGTAATTCCCTCCTTTTCCTTTTATTCTGGTGGAGAACTTTCCACCTTGATGTAATTCCTTCTATTTGAAGTTTAATAAAATTTATCTTTATTGACCAAAAAAAGTTTCAACTCTAATAATTCAGTCACCCAAGTAGACACTGATCTTTATTTAGCTTCACCACTAAACTGATAAAATACTAGAATGTTTATTCACTTCTCTATGTTAATATATTTCCACTCACAAGTTAACAACATACACTAGTCTATTTCCAATCATCTAGAGCCCCTTAATATGGGCCTCAATCATCAAATTTCATTGTTAAGAGAACGCCCCTATACTTGAATATTTCAAGTATCTCAGCATCCACTACGAAGCTTCTTGATGAGGAGCTTAGAGAACTTCTGTACATTGATTAATCACTGACACTGCATAAAATATATTTAGTCTGATTAGTGAAAGTAAAGAAGTTATCCTACTTGTTCCTGGAACTTTCCTTCATCAGATGATAGCTCTCATGTTCATTTGAACTTGTGACACCAACCTTTTAGCTTGCATATATATATATGTATATTTCGTCACATTTTCAATGTGTTTGATAATAGAATGCTAGAACTCTGCATTATGCAGATCTCTTATGGAATTCAATCAAAACCATGCATAAGAATTAAACTAGTGGTTTAATCCCAGCTTCAATCCTTGGCAACAAAATTCTTTTAGTGGTTACTATTTTTCCAAAGAAAAGATTGCATCTTTTGAAAGGAATACTGTATAAATTTCCTTTCGTCCTGTTTCTCTTGTTCTGGTCTTTCAGGTCTTGAAGCTGTCCTAGCAAATGGTACTGTGCTTGACATGCTTGGGACTTTGCGCAAAGATAATACAGGCTATGACTTGAAACAGCTATTTATAGGTATGCAATGCCAACTTACTGATAAATTCCTACTTCAGCATAAAACAAAATAATATTTTACTAGAGGATATCATTACATGTGGCTTTACCTTCATTGTTATAGGAAGTGAAGGATCTTTAGGAATTGCTACTAAGGTCTCAATACTTACATCTCCCAAGCCATCCTCAAAAAATCTAGCTTTTCTTGCTTGTAAAGATTATCTTAGCTGTCAGGTATGGTCCATTTTTATGCCTCGATTTTGCTTAATATTTTTAATCACTTTACTATCTAGATATCACTGCAGAGAGCATTAGCAAAATTAAGGGGTCCTTGTTGGACTAGTTGGCACTCCAAAATAAAATATTCATGTTAATAAAAGTGTATCACGTGAGCTAGATTATGTTTGTTTCATTTAAATAGGGAATGAATTTTTTCCCATATTTTCTTTTCCATTTTGTTCATTTTTTTACACATAGGAAATGTTCTTACTTTCTAAGCATACAAATTGAATTGATTTGGGCATAGTTGTTAGAATTGTGTATACTGATCTTGCAATTTGTCTGTGAAATGAGCATAATGATGCTTGACCAGAAACAGTAGAAGGGGAGAAATATGATCTTCTTGGGGAGTCCTATGCAAGGTTCAAAAGTATCGATACGCCCTTGTGTATCAGTACTTAATGTTGTGCAGTCTAGCATTGTGGGCTTGGGCCTATTTATGTTATGTCATAACATTTACTTGTATAACTTCCTTCCTGGGTTAAATGGGCCTGGGTCTACTTTGTTTTTATGTTTTCTTACTGCCTACTAATCTGGGTCAGATTTGTCATTGTATCTCTTTCTTATTGCCCTAGTATAAAAGTTGTCTTGGAGGGCTGGAGAGAGGAGCCACCAATTTCTTCTAAACCTCTTTTTCTTCTATTCTCTTCTTCTTCTTCTTCTTCTTCTATAGAACTGAATACAGACAAATACAGGCATGGTATCAGAGCATTGATACTATCCTCTTCACTGATTCAAAATCTTATATACTGTTCTTCTTTTCTTTACGTAGGTTGTAAAGAAACCTTAGTTCTGCTCGTGGTTCTCCAAACCCAGTTGCTTTCTTGGGCTTTCCCTTGGGAGAAGATCCAAGGAAACCTAGAAGAGGTTCGGTAATTCTCCAATAGGGCAAGATAAGCTGTGAGTAGTCTCTGGACTACTAGAGTAACCTGCAGTAAGCAGGTTAAGATTTTGAACTGCAGGAAGGTGCAGTCCAAGAAGGTTTTCAGATATCTTTGTGGAAGACCTTTTATGTTCGGTTAGAGGCTTCCATCAGACTGGGAGTGGAGTACAGGTTGTTGACCTCTACTTCAAATTTTTAGAAGCTGAACAGTGTCTGGTTGCAGACTAGGTGTTTGTTTTGTGTTGCAGCCCAAGTTCCTCTATTTTTTTCCTGCTGTTTTGTGTTGAAGTATTCTCCAGTCTACATGCCGGTAGCACTGATTGTTCTCTTCTGTTTTTTGGGTGAAATTTCACATCAGAAACAGTTCATTATGTCCTCAAACTCTAGTGAGGTAACCTCCAAGGAAAGTCAGCCAAGTGAAAGCTTATTCAACATGGAGAACACTAGCTTCCCAAATCTTCAGATCACTAATGTGAAATTAGATGAATACAAGTCAAAGGACCTAAGAAGGAAGAACCTACATATGGAACTTGGGCAAAAAAATTCACTTGTTATGACATGGATGTTATCTTCCATGACACCAAAGATTGCTAGGACAATCCAACACTATCCTACAACTCATAAGATTTGGGAGAAATTATCTACCACCCATGGACAAAGGAAAAATAATGCAAGAATTTTTAGACTGACACAAGACACTGCAGCCTTGACTCAAGGAAGTTTATCAGTTGCAACTTGCTTTGCTACTCTTAAGGGGCTTTGGGAAGAGCTTGATCATCATCTTGTTCTTGATTGGAAGAATTCTGAGGACCAAGAAAATGCACCAAAAGCAAATTGAGGAAATGAGAGTGTTCAAATTTCTTCTTGGACTCAACTCTTCTTATGAGAGCATCAGTTCTCAGATCTTGGGGAGAGATGAACTTCCCTCTTTGCAGCATGTTTACTACTTAGAAATGAGGAGATCTAGAGAAAAGAAATGAAGGTAGAAGCCCCTCCACAGCTGGGTGAACATTCGGCACTTGTTTCAGCCAAACAAAAAGGAGGGAAAGAGGTAGATAAAAGAAATCTAAAGTGCTCAGACTATGGGGGAGAGAGACATACCAACGATACTTGTTGGGTCTTGCATCCTCACCTTAAACCAGAACCTTATGGACTGTTAGACAGTGTATGCCTTTAGCTCCAATAAGCTTGATGTACATTATGACATTTATTGTAAATGAATAAAATACATATTTGATTCATGTTATTATGGTGTTTTTCTATGTAATACCCTTAAATTGGACACTAATGAGACTCGTGTTAGTTTAGAATCTTCACAGCCATTGGATAGATCTGGGGAGATTTATCTTGCCAAAGCTGACACTGATGTGCCGCCAAGTTGGTTGGGGTGGCTTGTCTCAGCTACCAGGGTGAGACCTGAGGTACATGCAGTGTGGGTTTTCTTGAAACCCTGAACCGGACCAAATTTCAGTGTTGCCCTAGACCTTGGAGACAGATGGGCAAAACTGAAATGTTACACCTGACCCCTAGACTCGATTATGATACTACATTAGGTGTCAGATTGAGCTGTCTTTGATATGTCAATCAGTGAGATCCTTAGCGGGGGTCAAAACCTGGGTATGTTGGGGCAGTCCGAGAATTCACCTGAGTGGGTGATCATAGTGACAGGATCGGCCCCATTGTCGGACAAAGTGAATGATTGGGGAATGCACTCTCTGATGGAAACCTAAACTGCTGGCAATGGATTTCAAATGTGTTTGAAATTTGTTTTGCAAAATACATTTATATAGAGATATACTTATATATTATGGTTTCACAAGTTGTTTGCAAAAGGTTTTAAGTCTTGGGATCCATGTGAGTAGAGAGTGCAGCAGCGAACCTTGCAGCCGAGGGAGAGATCCTCTCTTGTCGGGTAGTGTTKGATCATTATGGGCTGATAGGTTAAGTGTAAGGCCATTGAGGGTTATACCTGATGGGTTAATCTTGCATCTGCCCACAGTCCTTGGGCCTTCATAAGATGGCTGGACCCAAGGACCATTTAGTGTAAATGTTGGGCCCATTAAGAGCCCATGGTGATAGACTCAGGGGTTCACTGTGTCCTACAGTGAATTCGGCTAGGCCTTGTAACTAAGGCTGGGCTGAACCCATGTGGCTGATGTGTAGACCAATGATAGGGTCCCACGCCATACAAAGAGAGCCAAGCTAGCCAGCATTAAAATGAAGTGAGCCTGAAAGCTTAATGGGCCTAAAGCCCATTTCGAACTATCTTAATTCGATTAATTAATTAGGGGCGAATCTGGGTATGGATTAGCAGATGAGGATAAGAGGATAACTCTTGTTAGAATGTCAGAATGAAGTCTCTTTGTATGAGTGTTCGGCTGATAAGAGTTCTTATTAGCCCATACTTAAGTTTAAGTTATCCTGTAACTGGGCCTGTGTTAATGGGCCTAAGCCTGTTTAATGTTTTAAGTTAACTGGGTGTCCCATCACTAATCAGGGGCATTCCACTAATTACTTGTATCATTGTACTACATTCAAATATAAATAATAGCATGGTCGACTGGGCAGTTCAGTTCGACATTCACAGCATATCAGTGGTGTTCTTCTCCTCTCCTCTACTTCGAGTACAACTCTCAAGCTCACAACTCTTATCCACTTAAAGAGTCCAGAGCTGATCTTGATCTGCAGATAAGACAAGGGATTATCCTTATCACTTTAAGAGTTCAGATCCAAATAAAGATTTGGATCAAGAAACTCCTAATCAGATTAGGAGATCATCTCTTTAAGGGCTATACATAAAGAGCAGGGCGGACCTGAAAAGGGTTAAATAGTTTGACTGTTTCTGCCTCAAGTTCTCTCTTACTGCTCTTGCCGCCCCACCCTGTTCGATCTCCATCTCTTGGAAGTGATCAAGATTTAATCTTGATATTGTTTCTTATTAGAAGAAACAATTCTGAAGTTGTGCTCACTACCCCATTCAATTCTTGTTGAAGAATCAGAGGTTCTTGGTAAAGAACCACTTGCTAATCCTGCCTCATCCTAAGCTGTGCCATTTTCAGTGGAGGGAGGATTTGGTACTCTCTTTGGGCGTGAACACCTATGTTGGAAGGAGCTTTTTGCGTGGATTCCGTATCAGTTATACCTCTCCCCAATCTTGGTTTCAGATTTGGTCCGTTTTGGTTACAAGAACGAACCTTGAAAATGCAGTTTTCTAAATTGGAAATACGATTCCCAGTTGGGAGTAAGAAAATTTTTGAAAATTTTCCCAGCCACCCTGCATGGTCTGGCCATCCATATGATGGATACCCCTCCCCCTTAGTGGTATTAGAGCCAGGTTTAAGTCTTGAACCAAATTAGATCAGATCTGATTCTGCATAAATGGGCCGAAGGCATTCTACCCGATTTGTGCAGTTAACAATTTTTCTAGGAATTGGTTCCCAGATTTTGGGCGAATGATTTGAAAAATAAATCTTTATTATTCTGTTATATTTATGGAATTGTTCTATGGATGTTTCTTGAATTCTTGGGCTGCACGTGTGATGGAGATTGAATCTTTCTAGTGCCAAGATTTGCGCACCCTGCTTTTTCTATTTATTCGATTTGGTCTGTAAATAATTTTTTTTTTTGGACAAATTGTATAGAATTCAATGTGATGTAATAATAGAAAGATTAGGTTTTTTCTATTTTATTTCATTTGGAGATTGTTGGAGTGCGCGACAGAGGAGAAGAAGAGTTCACAGAATGAAGTTTTGCGATCTGTGATTTGACAGGTTTCGATTCTGTGATCTGCGATTAATTTTTCTTTGCAGGTTTGCAGGATGTCCAAGATTATCATAGTGCAACCCTCTGATATCGTTTTCATGATAATTGTGATTATCTTAATTTAATTTATTTTTTAGATCATTATTCTTGAATTAAATCTTGAACTGGACACCAAAACTTGGGCCGATTTACACCAGATTTGGTCCAAGATGGTTGGATTGAATTCTTGGTTCGATGGAGTTAGTTTTCTCACCCAAATTCGATTTTGGCTAGAGGGTTGATGGCCCACTTCAAGTTTTAACTTGGCCCT